AAATCTGTTGGAAAATATCAAAGCATTGCAATCACGCCACGAACAGCTGACAAACATCTCGGCGCTGTCGTAGTTCAATGTAAGTTTTCGCTAGTGTCCCAGTGTTTTGTTTACATCATGAATATGCCTTTAGTTATGCCCCTGCGAAATGATATTCATGATTTTAAGAACCTTTATGAGTTGTTCATAATTGTTCGTGAATGGTTCTTAAAGGATTCTTAACAGGTTCATAAAAGTAGTTCATGAATAAAATTCATGAAAACATTCATAATTCATAGTTCATGAACAAATGATGAACAAATATGAATATTGGTAATTTTCAGTTTAAAGAAAAAAACTTTGTAGTTCAAGGTAATGAATGTTCATGAATTTTCATGAAGACTAAAAATGTAAAAATAATTGTCACAAACGATCGCCAGAAAACACTCATTACTCCCATAATACAACTTTTGCATGCAGATGCAATTGTTGAAGAAGCCCCTGATTTAATTAATAACATGCTTTTGTTTTGATTTTGAAAGTATGGGATCAGAGCCGAGTAGGGGAACATAAGAGGTTAAAATCACTATTTTCTAGTCTATGTAATTGATAACTTAGATTCTTCAGGATAATAAAACTCTGTTATGAACTGTCTAGAAGGGAAATTATAATTAAATTATGATCGTAATTTAAAGAACACTGCATCAATATTGACAGCATTTTATTCTCATATTGAATTACTAATGTTTCTTCATCATTTAAATTGGCCAGCTATATTAATATTGTGCTTTAAATTTTCTCATTTTTCACGACACAACTTTGTTCGACCGAATTTTCTCTATTTGGCAAACTTTTAACAAGTTGTAAGAAAATGAAACAGACTTACAGTCTAGGAAAAATTTCAGAATCTTCGTAGAAACGTATCATAAATTTATTGACAACTAAAAAATTATATCTCTTGTCCGTACCGTACCATTCTTGGGTCGGAAAGCTTTATATTTTGATGCTGTTATAAAGTCACATTTTCCTGTCCATCGTGTGTAAATGATACAGCACAGGCTGCATGGTTGTGAAGAAGCTATGACATGAACCACATTCGTATTTTGTAGTCTATTCTCCTATACACTTTCATAGCTCAGGGTACTCAGTGTGATGGAGAGTGGTTCCAAGAGATATTTGTTGTCCTCTGATATGGAGGCGGCCATACTTGAATACGAAACTATGGCTCTACAGGTATAATGTAAAAAAAATCCAATTCAATAAATATATAACTTATATTAATTTAAAAAATTAATTTCAGTGAAAAATCATTCAGATAGTGTTTGTTATTTTTTGTTTAACAAAAATCTTGGCAATTCGAAACTATTTCTTAATTAGCTCTGCATGACACTTCTAAAAAGGCGCAAACTTTGAAACGCGCGAGACGTTGGAAAGTGAATCGGTAGAGTGGGAGGATTATTAGCGTAGTAATTCTTTGTCAACCTTTGAAGAAAATAAAATATGGCAGTGCCTATGATGCATAATTAAATGAAACAAATATGCAAGTCTTAAGTTTTCACATTTATGAACATTTTCAGAAAATCTTTGTTCTTGTAGGGAAAAGAGAAGCAGTTCACAGATACTGTTGATGAGTTGAGATCAGAAGATTAAAAAACTCTGGCTGCCAAAAAAAAAAAAATATATATAAAAAATCCAGGCTCTTGAAGAAAAACAAAAGAAAGGAATGAAAATATGAATCGTAATCGATCAAAGGATCCAATTGGTGAAATTCTGAAAATTCCACAGGGGAAGCCAATAAGATTTTTTTATTTGACCACCTCTGCTCAAAATCCTTGAAAGCCCTTTTAGCTGATGCCCTAATTGCTGAACACACTTTTCTGCCAGACAGTGAGACTTGGATTAAAAATCATTCCATTTTAGGCATACACTTTGAAATATGCTGAATAAGGAACCCACTCTCCTCTTGACCAAGTAAGGTTAAGGATTCTGCAAAGAGTCGCGTTTGAATTGAAATTTTTCATAATTTATTAGGAATGAACTACATAATTTATTTATTATCGTTATCACTTATCAGAGTTGTTTACTTGAACAAAGATTTTGTTACCATGATTGGAAAACAAAAATTCTGTGAAATCTTTCAAGATGCTATTAAATATTTTCTTTTACAGTTTTTCATTTTGCATAACTTATTACATTTTTGTTTACTAAAAGCAAGAACATTCATGAATAGTTCATGAACATTCCTAAATAACTTTTACAAATTATTCATGAATAGTTCATGAAAATGCATTGAACCTATTAATATCATTCATGAACTTTTCTTGAAAGTTCATGAATATAATTCATGAACTTTTCTTGAAAGTTCAAGAATTATTCTTGATCGTTTTGCAGGCATTTAAAAAATCCAAGTTTGTTCATGAACAACAAATAATTCTTGAATATTCTTGAACTTGGTTTTCATGAATAAAATCCATGAAATCATGAGTGTCCAATTTTAACTTCATGGGATCTTCATGAACAATTCATGAGCTGATTCAAGAATATAATTCATGAACTTTTCGTAAAAGTTCAAGAATTATTCTTGATCATTTCGCAGGGGTGATATCGTTGGTTAAATGTTTTTGATCTTAAATAGCCTACTTGATTGCAAATTAACTGGCACTGTCAAGTGTTTACATCCATCGGATCATGCATCCTTTTCTGGCGACCGAAATTCCTCCAACTTTTTATCATCGGTCTTCGGACGTGTTTCTGATGTCTTTTCAGCATCAATTATCAATTTTCACGAATAGAAATATTCCCAGACAACAGTTTGTTCACTATTACTGATCACAGGTAGCCCTTAACAAGATATTCCCTTAGAAATAAAATCCTTAGCCTGCTGAATTCGAAGCGTAACCGCCATTCAAGCCGATTTACACCTTGCGTCATTTTTCAAAATCTACGACGGACGGTTAGTGCAATAATTTATATTCGAAAATATTCAAGCGTCTGTCTCAAATGTATATATAAGTAATAAATAACAAGTTTATAAACTTCAATGGGAATTGAAGTGTACGGTACGTGATCAAATCTTTCGAGAAGGCCTTCGGCCTTCACAGGATTTGATCACGTGACCGACCCACTTCAATTCCCATTGAAGTTTATAAACTTGTTATTTATTTCTTAAATAAATGATTTGTTCAGGAAAAAAAATTAGTAGTATCTTTAAACATGTAACATTTTTTAAAGAATGCATAGGACGGTTCGGTGTGAACTGCAGTAGGGAATGTCCACGTGGATATTACGGAAAACGGTGCCTTAAAGAATGTTCCTGTAATGATTTCTTTTGTGATAAACGTTGGGGTTGTCTGTCACCTACATCGGCTATAGAAGCCAATTATCATATTTCGGTGTTTACAGGTGTGTATTTGTATTTTGCCATAAACTTTTTTTTTACCAATAAATCTGTTCCTAAAATCTATATATATTAGCCAACAATACAACTCTGATTGATATACATTGTAGCTATATACCAGAAAGACAAAATTTAGTTTAAATCGAATAATGTATATTGCTTACAGCACATAATGACTTACTAAAAATCAAACAAGTTTTTATTTTTTTCTCTCTTGTTGCCTTTTTGCATAATTTGCATTACTAGATAGTAGAGAAAAAGAAGAGAAATAATGATAAAACAAATAAATTTTGTACAATTTATCTACCAAGTTTTTACGAAACTGCTTTATGCTCTAACGGAAGCCCGTTTGTTTCGTACGCTTGAAATGTAAAGTACACGTGACTTTTGAATAACAAACATTGTTGAAAAAAGATACGATCCACTTTAAAAAAATCAAAATATTAAAGGACATTTATTTGAAAATTAAATGAAGTAATTTTCAAAATAAAAGTAAGTTTTCCAATTTAAACCTTTGTTTTATATTAATACATTTTGATGAGTAAATTCTAGTTCAATGTATAAAGGAAAAATAACTCATCGCGTTGCATTTGTATAAAAAAAATCAATTTGTAATTAAAGAATTATGTACTCTAGAAATAAAGCAAAACATGCACACACTAATATAATAAAAAATCTTTTCATTTTCTGATGTTATATTGATAACATGAAAAAAGTTTAATCAACTTATTTTTGACTAAGTATGTAGGTCACTTGGTTTAAAGCTTCAAATGTTAACGTCATTTGTTAAACAAAATTTTGACAACTCAAAAAAAAGTAAAACGAGAACTCAGAAATAAATATCATGAAAATTTCATATGGTTCATATTAAATTTATCAATCAGGAATATTGATCCCATTGATGATGTTTTGGAGGTCCGTTTAGGCCCGTAGGAAGTATTTTTAGTTCGGGGGTACAATTGTACAATTTTATTTTGGAGCACTACCAACTACCAACAATTGACAAGCAAAATGAAAGGTCACCAGACATAATTATTTGGGGGGCACAAACATACAGTAGCGAAGTTTTCTACATTATTCTATATATCGGGAAAATTATTGGGTGGTCGAGAGGTGGGTAGGTGGGTCGTACGGGTCCGGACCCCCCTTGGAATTTGCAAAGTTATTAGATTTATATACTAAACCAAAGTGACTGGCACCTTGGACCCTCCTAGAAAACGCGAACACAGATCTATGTGAAATTGGTATGAAATGATTGATTGTACTGTGGTTTCATTAATATTCGTGGGCATCAATTTTCGTGGATTTAGTAAAAGTCACAGTTTCGAGGATATGTAAATTCATGGATCATGGTCCCGAAAGAAAACGCATTCTGTCATCTTTTCTTATTGTCTATTTCGCCGTCTGCTTTAACAGTAACCATCATGCAATTTACAATGATAAAGAAATTGATGTAAATATTTCTACCAAAAGCTACTAACAGGTCGAAATTAATTTATTTTTTTTGTTTTACTCAAATGGTTTTACTCAAATATGTAAACGTATTCTTTCTTCTTTTCTTTTTTTAAATTTAATATTCTTAAAACGATAAAATACGTCTAAAAAGTCAATCTGTTGGGTGTATTTAATATATGTGAATGAAAGTCGGGAATAGGCTTTTTAAAGGTTTATCATTAATCAAAATGAAGGCACCAAAGTCGATGAACATTTGATTTTGTGGATCGACTCAGCAACGAAATCCACAAAAATTGGTGTTCCACGAATAATGATGAAACCTCAGTATGTTGTTTAACGTCCCTCTCGAGATTTTTTCACTTATATAGAGGATATATATTGGAATGAAAAGTCACTGGTATTAAGTTTTAAAAGTTAAGTAAGAGTTAAGGATTTTTTGTTGTTGCTTGTCAATGAATTTTTGGGTGCTGGAAGATTTTGTTGACTGGGGTTAAACCTCCTGGAAAAAAATTCTGGATCCGCGCTTGTACGATCATGCCGTGTTTGATTTGGTCCTGATTTGCATAGAATTTTGAGCTTGAATACTGATCGCTATCTCATATTTCATCTATTTTTTCTTGAATAAAGATGAGCAGCCCTGCACAAACAACTGTGAGACTTTTCTTTATGATTCTTTTACATATGTTTAAAGATTAGATTAAACGTAAATTTCCCATGTAAAATATCACCGCAAAGTTTACTAGTAAACAACATAATTCAAGGAGCATTGTTTCTTGAAAAGCAAATACTGGTATATACTTTCCAGGATACGCTTCATCATTGTTGCAACATATCGCGGCAAATTCTTGAAAAATGACACACGTTCTCAGAATAACATTCTATTTCTTATACAAATACCTTATTATATTAGAGTTTGAACAATGAATACTAGTATTTATAAAATTGTTCGTATTTTGCGACCAGAAAGCACAGACTTGCAGAAAAACAGAAAAAGAGACTTAAAATGGTTTTTGAATCTTGCTTTACCGATCTCACTTTCGGCAGTAGTTTTGCTGTTAATTGTTTTAGGAATCATTTACAGGTATGCTGTATGATATACCAGATTATTTTGCATTTTTTCATTGATTTTTTTTTATTTGCATCGACAAAACGATGTTATTTCTAAGTAAAATTTTCAAAATCGTTTTATGTGATGTAATGATTAATGTATGAAATACTAGTAGTGAATTTTTACTTAGGAAGAAGTGCAAACGCATCACTGAAACTACAGATGCCAGGAATTCTACCCATGGTAATAGAATAAATCAATTTACCTCATTTTCTACTTATAAACAGCATTTATTGAGTGCAGTAACAAGACAAAGACATTTTAACACCATTCGTACTTCTTAGATGAACACGAAGAGACGGGTACTACAGATGTATATGCTGTGGTGGTGCGTCCAAACCGAAAACCTATAAGGGATGTTCTGCAAAATAATAATATCGATGACAATGCGTTGCCTCTTGAAGCTCCAAATATAGAACATAAATCAACCGCCTTAAGAAGAAGTAATTCATCAAATTATAAAGTTGAATCAACGCCTCGGGACCTCAACTCTCCATACAGCATGTGTGTAGGACTTGAAGACCCTTACGACGACGCTTTCTGCATCCCTTCAACCTCATATCAATTTGAATCATCAGAAGCCGATCAGTAATTCAGCAGGCAACTTGAAGTTTAGATTGAACAATAACTTTGATTTGGATGGAGAGACTATTGTCTATGAGCTGAATACAGAAGCTAAATCTATGGCAAGCCCTTTTACTATTTATTCGTAAAATACATTTTTCTTTCAATATGAGAGATATCTCTCTAGCATAGAGAGATATCTCTTTAGCTTATAGAGATATCTCTTTGACTGAAAGAGATATATTTATACTTTAGAAAGATGTCTCTTTAAACAAAAGATATATCTCTTTTTGAAAGAGAGATATCTCTTTTTGTAAGAGAGCTATCTTTATGAGCTAGAGAGATATCTCTTAAAGTTAGAGAGATACTTCTTTAATAAGTTTAAAAGAGACATCTCTCTTAGTTAGATATCTCTTTAGATTTTCAAAAAGAGATATCTTTCTAAGCTAAAGATATATCTCTTTTAATGAAAGAGATATCTCTTTTTCAGTCATCCTTAAAATAAAATAATCAATTCTCCCCTCTAAAACGAAAGCGAAAGAGGAAGTAAAGTCCCAGGAATAATTTCGCCGTTATTTTTTAGAAAAAACACTGAGCATGCAATACCCAGAATAATATACTACGTATGTACTATGTAGAGAAAAATGCTATAAATCCCTTGATTGAAACAACAAATTATAATGGCAACTTCGTTGATAAAAATGCTAAAAGTTTAATACATGTATTCAGAAAAAACAAAGTAAGCATAAAATCTCAAATACAAGGACCGAATTTTCTCAGCTTATGAAATAAGAACTTAATTTAAAAACTAGACACACTGAATTCTTGCCATGTTTAATAAAGCTATAATGTAGATTATCGTGAATATGTCGAAATTTAAAAATACTTTAATATACTTCCATGAATAAAAAGCTTACTTCCGGTAAAGGGAGAAGCCATTTCAAATGGAATTTAAATAAAAATAATTAAGAGAGATATCTCTTTGCAATAAAGAGATATCTCCTTTTGCTTGAAAGATATATCTTTTAGACACTTTTGAAAGATATCTCTTTCACTTTGAGAGATATATCTTAAGATAAACTAAGAGAGATATCTCTTTTACATTAAGAGATATCTCTTTAACTTGGAAAGATATCTCCATAACTAAAAGAGATATCTCTCTAGTTGAAAGATCTCTCTCTCTCTCTCCTTGAGAGATATCTCTTTTCACGAAAGAGATAGCTCTTAAGGGGAAAGAGATATCTGTTTAAGTGGAAGAGATATCTCTCTCTTATAAAAAGGGATATCTCTCTAAGTTTAAGAGATATCTCTTTTTCATAGAGATATCTCTTAAAAATGAGAGATATCTCTTTAAGTTGGGAGATATTTCTATTTTTAAAGTGATATCTCTCTAAAATGAGAGATATATCTTTAATTTTTAGATAAATTTAATTTTCCGAATAAATAGCAAAAGATCTCTCTCTCTCTCTCTCTCTCTCTCTCCTTGAGAGATATCTCTTTGCAATAAAGAGATATCTCCTTTTGCTTGAAAGATATATCTTTTAGACACTTTTGAAAGATATCTCTTTCACTTTGAGAGATATATCTTTAGATAAACTAAGAGAGATATCTCTTTTACTTTAAGAGATATCTCTTTAACTTGGAAAGATACTTCCATAACTAAAAGAGATATCTCTAATTGAATGATCTCTCTCTCTCTTTCTCTCTCTCCTTGAGAGATATCTCTTTTCACGAAAGAGATAGCTCTTAAGGAGAAAGAGATATCTGTTTAAGTGGAAGAGATATCTCTCTCTTATAAAAAGGGATATCTCTCTAAGTTTAAGAGATATCTCTTTTTCATAGAGATATCTCTTAAAAATGAGAGATATCTCTTTAAGTTGGGAGATATTTCTATTTTTAAAGTGATATCTCTCTAAAATGAGAGATATATCTTTAATTTTTAGATAAATTTAATTTTCCGAATAAATAGCAAAAGGGCTTGCCATATAAATCTGTTAAACTGAGAATTTTATTGATAAATTGAGTACAAAGTATTTGTAAATTAGCAGGTATTAGAAAGAATATTTAAATTCAAAGCTAGTCTAGAAGTAGTTTAATGAGAGAGAGAGAGAGAGAGAGAGAGAGAGAGAGAGAGAGAGAGAGACGTGTACCCTATGTCATGATCGGACAAAAGGAAAATCCGTGCAAAATTCATTGTGTAAAATGGCACCACAATTGCTTTGAAAAATGTACGTCAGTATTTGACTTATTAATAGATATTAATTGCTGACTGTATAGTGAACTGAACTTAATGCAAAACATTTATGTCAAGTGTTAGGAGTGGGGAAACAGACACATTACTGTTTTACTTGTTCGATCTGAATACTATTAGTAATTGACTGACGTAACAGAACATTTACCTTACGTCTATTTTTTATTTAGGTAATTGATTTTAAACTGATTTTAGGCACACATCCATTTATTCTACACCAACTCTTTATTTTTACAATATAAGCACTGAAATATAAAATTGTTATTGACGTTATTTTTAACCGTTCGTGGACCTTCGACTTTGCCTGAACAGATAAATATTGTTAAACCGTAAAATTTAATTTCCTTTTTATGGCCTGGGATGTAAACAAGTACTTCATGTACTTATAGCAAGTACATCAAAACTAAATCATAGATTTTAACCTGTATGTATTAAAACAAACACAGGCATTATACTTTCATATGTAAAGACAGATCAATATATGACAAGTAATCACGTATAAAAAAGAGTTTGGGATCGGACATCTATATAAGATCCATTCGATATTATCAATTTATTACTTACGCCTAATGAGCAAATTGAACAAAACACTATATATCTTGGATGAAAAGAAAACCAGATTAATTGCTATTGAGTATGGTCCAGCCCCAGATAAACACAACTACATCAAGTTCTACAGACCCCGACGATCAGTCAGCTGTTGACAGTGTGAATCCAAAACCAGTCACCACCACCACCTGGTGGCCATGGGTGGTTGTTTCTGCCGTGGTCCTTTTTGTAGTGGTGCTCGTCATCATAATCTTTGTTTGTGTTCGGAAATATCGGCATCGGTAATGCTTTAAACGTATTTAAAAATCTTTTGATTTTAAGTGTTAAGTTTATAGGTTTTGTAATATTTTCATTTAGTGAAACACATGTATAAATCTTACCCGCGAAATACATTCAAACTTTCTATCTTCTATTAAAGGTCCCTCAAAAGAAAGGGTTCAACGGAGATCACAGAGAATAAACTCTACAGCGTCACTGGCGTAACTGGAAACATTCCAGTAAATGTAAGTACAAAACGAACTGTTTTTAAAAACTTTTTTTAATTAGCATAATGCTAGAAATTGAACAAGAAGTACTTGTATATTCCAAATAATACTTATTTAGGTGACCATTTATACAAATGAAGGCTATATTCCTGACGTCATACCGACTGCTGACCGACAAGTGGCATCTAGGAATTACAAATACGACTATGTGCGTACTATTAATACGAGCCTTTTGATGAGTGATGAACAGAAAATACAACATTTGAAAAGTTCCCAAGAAATTTACGTGAATACACTTGATATAACTGGAACTCATGATTTAGATGACGACTCAAAACAATATCAAAATATCTTTAGTGAAAAGACCGAAGAAGAATATACTGACGTAGTTTCAGAATTAAAACACTGTCAAATGCATCACTCATACGTAGAAATGAGTGACGAGATTGACATGGGTCTTTACAATAAATTAAATCATGGAACGCGGTCAGTACGTCGTACTGAGTTAGAGGATATCACGTACAGTCATATACAACCGGAGTCAGAGGGGGAGTATACGATTCTGTGTGGAGGGGAAGCCATGGTTAGCTTGAAGATATACGAAAACCAACCAGACAAATGGAGCAATCAGCCCTAGAGTCATAATGCTACAGCAGGATTTTGTATGTCGAAAAATCCTAACACATATATTACATGTGTGACTTAACTTCAAACACAAGCTTAAATACTAACTAGCTTGTGATTTTGCATAATATTATGAATTTTCATTCTTATAATAGTTTTTGTTAAAAAATAAATTGCTTGGTGATGCATTGACATACGAGGGGCATTTGAAAAGTTCTGAGAACTGTTTAATAAAAAATTAACCATTTCACGGAAAATTGAGATTGATATCGTTGGAAAGATCAGACAAATATACACATATTGTGACGTCACTTTTTAAAATTTTTATGACATAATAACTCCGAAAATGACGTCAGAATTAAGAATGTTTAGCATACTGAAAAGTCGCACTTTTTATCCACATGAGACGATACTAAAAGTGCTGCCAAATGCTTATTTGAAAAAATATATCAAAGAAAAATTTAAATTGCAAAGAGGAAGAGTAGGACTATGGTACTGTTTATCAGCAATACCATTATTCATTGTATGGTTTGTTTACTAGCACGGTTTATGTCCAGTTATGCGATCATCGTCATTCATTTAAGATTTTCATTTACATGATACGGCTAGATTTTCGGTCTTTTATATTGCTCTCCATTGTTTGAAATAAAACATGTTTTGTATTAACTGAAGTATATTAATGCAGTTTTTAACAATTAGATGTATATTTTGAGTAACAGGACTCTTACCGTTTACGAATAAAATGTACTAAATCTTGTCCCTGACTTGGTTCTGTGCGTATTTTTTCATATTAATTCAACTTCGGCGTCCCAAAACTCACTTCTGCTTTTGATCTTTGACTCCAAAAAATTATTATAAATTACAAAGACATGTAAAAGCTTATTTATTTTCCATGTATTAAAATTTGCGAATATGTGGAGGTACGGTGGGGTTACAACTGCGCCGGCGCCATTTTGGATTTTACGAGAAAATATGGGGCACACTTAACTTACCTTCTCGTGAGCCTCCATTGATCTCGAAAATCTGGTTAAAACACGAATTTATGCCATAAAATTTTGTAAAACGATCGCCTATTTTTCTTTGATTGTCGACTTCGTCTTTTTCTCACAGTTAGGTCTTTTTTACGCAATATTTTGAGCAAGATTCGATAAAAACACTCGCTTAAACCATTTCAGAACAAGAAGATCTCCAAAATAGAACACTATATGATAGATTGTAGTCGATGTAAACATTCCACCAACTGGCATTTGCGTCCGTTAGCTTGTCTCTTCGTTATGAGCAAGGAATGATATGGAGATAACGAACAGTATTCAATCTCAAAGTCCATAAAACAATACAAAATAAGAACAGAGCAAACACGGACCCCCGAAACATCAGAGGTGGGATCAAGTGACATGGAGGAGTGAGCATCCCCTGCCGACCGGTCACACCCGCCGTGTGCTCCTTGTCATGATCAGGAAATAACGGAAAAAATCCGTCGTCAATTCAATTCAGTGTATAAATAATGGACTAACAATTGGTATGAATTAAGTCAGCATTTGACTCAATGATAAATTGTATTTGATGTCAAGGTCATTGTATCGACTATAGAACTTACGAAATGATGACTTTAAACGAGACTGCTGATATTCTTGTTTCATCAACTTGCTTTTCAATAATTTACCTCGTTTTAGAAATTGTTCATACGTAGAGCATGCTCTTGCGTATCGAATCAACTGAGATATATACTCCCAGTGCAGATGATGAACGTATATTGCTGCATAAGTAAGGGAATTTGACAATAGAAAAGTTAAAGTCATCACATTTATCATATAACTTGGTTGTTAGATTACCATTAGTGTCTTTTTCAAGAAAAATATCCAAAAAACAGAAGTGTCGGTATCTTTTATCTCAAGCTCACCAGGATATATCGAATCGACGTAGGAATGGAAATTACCATTATTAATTGACAATACGTCGTCGATATATCTAAATATGGAGTTGAAGGCCACAGCAAGTGTTTTCCTCTTTTCACGCATAAGATTTTGCATAAATTCTGCTTCATATCAATATAAAAATAAGTCTGCTAATAACGGAGCGCAATTTGTACCCAAGGTATTCCAATAGATTGTTGGAATACCTGGTCTCCAAAAACCACATAGATATTGTCAATCAGAAACTCAAGCATCTTCTTGATGTCAACTTCAGAGTACTTATGTGTGCAATCAGAATCTGTTTTAACAAAATAATTTTGCAAATGACCAATGACGAGGTAAGTAAATTTACGAGTTCCATTTTTAATGAAGAAGCATGTGTCAATGATATCAAAAAGCCTGGAATTTAATTTGATGTGGGGAATTGTTGTGTATGAAGTTGAAATGTCGTAAGTTTTTAAGCTGTTGATTTTTGTAAAGTCTTGTGATTTCAAATTGTCCAAAAGTTCTTTAATTAGAATTTTTAGTATCCACATCTGATTCACACCACTTCTTGAATATATAGTTGCACAGTACTTTTGAAGTTTTTTTTCACTACTGTTAATATCTTAGTGAGGAGTAACAAATGAGGCTTGGTTGAACATTTACTGGAACCTGCAATGATCTTTGTAAGGATTCTTATGAAGTTTCGGGGTCCAATGTATATAAGGTAGTTCAAATTCATTTTGGCTCTGTGGAATATTAAATGTATTCAAAACTGACAGGTGATTATGAAGAATTTCTTCCTTAGAAAGGGAAGTATGAGTACAAGTAGCATTACCGCCTGTAGAATTAAATCCAAGTTTTTCTAGAATGCAATTTATATAATGAGCCTTACAAACGAAGACAATGTTGGTACCTGCTTTGTCGGGAGGAACCAGTACATACTGATCCTGTAAGGTATTTAATTCTTTTTTCACTTCTGGTTTATTGAACACAGAAGGATAGATGGTTTTCATATTGCACCTCAATCTTTTAATACGTGACTTTAACATGGATCTGCTACATATAATCCATTCTGACTAGGTGTCAACGTCTTCTTTTTCATATCTGGCCCATCGTCTGGCGTAATTTTCAACAGAATTATGTCTTTAAAATTTTAATTTGTTCTAATTGAGTCTTTTGTTACGTCATTTTTATGGTCAGTATGCTAAACATGCGTAAGTCTGACGTCATGTTTGGAGTTATTACATCATAAAAATTATAAAGTGATGTCACAATATGTGTATATTTTTCTGATCTTTCCAACGATATCAAACTCAATAATTTCCGTGAAACGGTTTATTTTGTATTAAACAGTTCTCAGAACTTTTGAAATGCCCTTCGTATTTTAGTAACTTCTACCTTTATTTAGTAATATTAAATTAAGATTCAAAAAACCAACCCCGCGTTTCCATCTGTATCAAACAGAGCACCACATCTGAAATCAACAAATAGGAAACTAGTACCATACTAATAACGTAAAAGACAGGATGTACAACTTTAACTTCCGAATAATGTGGCTGGTGTCTATCTAGGGGTAAAATGAATCTTTGATTGGAATATGGAAAAACGATGTGGTGATACCTGTTCATTTTATTCATTAAAACACGACTCAAGTTGTTATTTTCAATTTTTAAGACAAAAGTTAGTTTGTATAATCTGTCCTCAACTGTATGTGACGAGATGGAGTAAAGTGCCTAGTAGGAGTAAGCATCTCCAAGCTCATTGGTGGCCAAGACCTTGTATGTCAACAGGTATAATCCACACCATTTGTTAGGATGTTTCATACTCATATGAATATAGATTAATTCGTCTACCTGTTCAATATATGACTCAATGTGGGTGTGAGACTCAACTACTAGGTACTTTACTCCACCTCTCAACAAGATGACGGCAGCTTATAAATCGAAATGTTTCCTTATTTATGTACCATGATTTCACTGTATAACCTCCATAACAATATCAGGTAGAGTAGTCCAAGCAAAACGAGACCCGTTTACCTGTGGCTTTCCAATATGTTAGCAATGGAAGTATTCGACAATGGTGAACTGTTTTAAGTAAGTAATAAACCTCGAACGCGCCTCGGACGGTCTAATGTCTGACATATGGACAGTTTGAGGTTTATAACCAATACTTATATACACATGTTACAGGAAAAATCTTGCTATATAAATAAGGGAACCATCGATTTAAAATCTGTCGTTATCTTGTACTTAGACTTAATCGTCTATAGGGATAAGTATAACATCCAAATGCGTAAAAGGGGTTACCATTTTCATTATTCTGAAGCAAGGATTCTTCCTAGTCATACATATAAGCATGTATTTGGTATACATGTACCTGTTCAATACCCGAGAGTAAAAGAAGAATATCAGCTGAATTCATATACTGAACTTCCTCCTACCACAAACTTTAAAAAATGCTTTCAGTTTTACGGTATATATTCTAAAAGTCAAAATTTATTTTTTATTCGATAAGTGGATTGTTAGAAAAATGTTACATTGAAATGTTTTAAAAATGAAAAGTAATATCAAAGGAACATTTCTCTTTTTTGTAGGGAAATGGAAACATTGTTTTCAAATACAGGTAAAACAAATGTATGTCCTCAAATGGTCCTAGAAACAAATTTGACTAAAGTTCAACCTTTGGAATCGTGGCTGAATTTTGAAGTGGAATTGTCTTTCCTGGTCTAATGCTCATGTCTTTCATTTTCTTGAAGTACATCATTGTAGTCCGGAAAGTCACTATTGCCTGAAGAACTATCCTCGAAATCTGACGAAAGTCCTCTTTGTGGTACATATTGGCCTGATAAAGCACTACAAGCAGTATCGTCATACAATTCCTCGACCTCTAAACATGTGCTATATGGGTCATTCAAATCTTCGGCATTCTGTTTGCTTTTATAAGACAAAGAATGATCTGTTCTTAGATTTAGAGATCCTGCATGTGCTTGGTTTGTTGCCTCAATGAACAAAGTATTGCCGTGTGTCCTGCTGTTCTGCTGTATACCCGTTACTTTGACTGCTCTTCTACTCAATCGATTTACGGAGGCGTATGTACTCGAGGTATCATCCTCTTCAATCTCCACTTTGAAAATAAGGAAGCAATTGAACTAATTATTCTTTAATTACGACTTAAGCTGAATTTCATTAAAATAATTTTAGTATTGAGCCTGATGGAAGCTATGTATAAGGTTGGAGAGAGAGAGAGAGAGAGAGAGAGAGAGAGAGAGAGAGAGAGAGAGAGAGAGAGAGAGAGAGAGAGAGAGAGAGAGAGAGAGAGAGAGAGAGATTCTACTTACTACTTGTTGTGGTGTCGGCTGCAGCAGGAACTTGACGTACGTAAATAATTGTACATCTGGATAAGATATTTATGTTTAGCATTTAATTGTGTATTAAAAAAAAACATATATAACATGTTTTACGAAATATAAGACTTAATAGGCAAGAGTCCCATGGACCACATCGCGCACATGAGCATACTGAGCAAAAACAAATAAGTTCATTATTTCAAAGTTTTAAGGGATAGAGGCAGACCTAAATACACTACCTTAGGATGCTTCCATATCAATATAACTAATAATCATGAGCTTTGATGTAATTCACTAGAAGGATTTGAAAGATTTGATCCCACCTCTGATGTTTTAGAGGTCCGTGTTTGCTCTCCTCCTATTTTGTATTGTTTAATGGACTTTAAAGCTTGAATTCTGTTCGTTATCTCCACATGTTTCATTTCCCCTCTGTATTCCTATGTAAAACTCTGATTGCTCATTGTGGCCCCACCCTAAATTTGCACAAAATTGAATCTATGCTACCTGAGGATACTTCTATTAACTTATCACTCATCATTACCCTGCAGTTCTTGAGAAGATTATTTTTAAAGACATCCTTTATAATCCTATGTAAAACGTAGACCTCCTCTTGAGGCCACGCACTTACCAAGGCGTTATGACATGAACAAACCTGAATTAACAGTCATTAATGAAGCCTTCACATAATTAAGTTTCATTTGTTGTACTTAAGAAGAGTTTTAAAAGATGTCACAATTTTTTTAAACGAATTCTTAATTATCTTCCCTTGAAAGAGGGAGTGGCACTTCTTGTTGACAAATTTGAATCCTCTTATCCAAAAGATGCTTTGAGGCAAGTTTGGTTGAAATTGACCCGATGGTTCTTGAGTCGAAAATATTTAAAGTTTACAGTTGACAAACGGACGCCGGATATCAGAAAAGCTAACTGGAGCCTTCGGCTTGAACTAAAATTATCATTGGAATGCAAAAAATTTAATTTTTAAATTAATTGCATCATACATGAATTTATATTAATTATTTTTCGGTGAAACCAGGTAAAACCAAAAAAGGTTCTTTCTGTCTAAATTTTCGTCTTATTGCAACTAAGTGTGTATAAACAAAATTCAAGGATCAAGAGGAACTCAATCGTTTGATAATTTTACCTACTGAAACACATGAAGATAAATTAATTTAACAATACTAATTTATATTGCAATACTGAGAGAGTATCACTACACACGCATACCTATAGATAATTCCAAAACATCCAACCAATAAAACAACAGTGGCAAGTAACGCTGGTATTGTAATATGAAGAAAGGATCCTAACTTGGTTCGTTGATTTCCCTTCAAGTCATACTTTTCTGTAAATAATTGAGATTAAAGATTATTTATACCCCCGCTTGAAAGATGGGAGGGTATACAGTGATCGGGATTTGTTAGAATACACAATTTTGGTTCTAAATACAGGTATTCTATACTGGGCTCTCAGGTCCATTGCACATTGGTTGTTTTTCGTATACAATCTACTATGACAAAGGAACTCGATTCTTAAGATCTCGTCCAGAAATACTTGTAATTTTGACTTGAATTCCGGGGTTTGGATAAGAAAAAGTCACTACTTACGTTTTACATTTAGAGTAAGATTTGGAGTACAAGAATCGAATGTTGACCTCCTCATTACTTAAATTGTGATTGACGATCCGTATCGTTGTTAGTCAGGTTTTAGCATTTTAAAACGTTTTTGTTTTATGGTCATGATCATTGTTCTTCATTAAATTGACTGATTATATTTCAAAGCATAATAAATTGCAAGCTCTCTTGAATTGTATGTGATTTTAAGTTACAATTCCTCTTTATGCAGTCTTCATACAGCTTTAAAGGTTGCATGGTTTTCCACACAAAACAAGGTCACATTCTTCTTGTAACAAAAGTTAACATTATCGAACTTCATTTCAACAACATAACCCTAATGTACACAAAATATCTAATTTTGAAGGCATACTGTCAACCAACTTTTATTCGTGTGCATATCAAAGTCCTACCAATTATTGTGTGTGAATTATGTTTTAGTTTGTTAAATAAAATTAAGAATTAAGTCAAACAATCACATTTAAAATGATGTTGCTGCCAAGCTAACAACGTGACTTTAATTTGTACGAAAAACCAAGTGATTTAAAAAGTACGCGAAGCTGTAGGGGCTTTTCGATATAGCGTTTTCATGTCTTATCATTTTTATTTATATTAGCTTTTATTGAGACATAATTTTTAGCAAGAGAACTTAAATAGTAGATACCCGATTTATTTGTGAGACATCCTAAGACACTGTCACACTGACTAACATCACAATTACATTTCTCTCGGCACTGTTTGCCATAATAGCCTGCAAGGCACTCTTCACTGCAGTTAACACCGAAGAACCCTTCGCATTCTGTAAAACAATACTGTAAAACTTTCAAAAGAGAGATAAATCAAAATGCAAGAAAGTGTCATGATTTTCTTAATACTCCTATTCATATCACGTATCTAGTTTAACTTGATGAAGCTATTACTCTATTAACATTACTTTTGTACTCAAGGTCATAAATTGTCTCCTTTTTGTTACAAAGTCTGTTTAAACAATACGTTTCTGATAAGTGAAATTTTTCTGTAAATGTCATCTTTATTGCTTTATGATACTAAGTATGTCATTTCGTTCTATTTCATTTTTTATGAAATGTGTGATAACTAAGAAAAGATGTTTTTATTGAGAAGCGGGTTTTGAAATGTTGAATGCATGTGTAAAATAGGTCTCTAATTTATTTTTTTTTAAAATGACAATGGCATATAAAGAACATATAAACTATTCATACTCGATATTAAAGTGTCATATACGCATTCTGGTATTATTTGTTATTAACTTTGTTCCTGAATGTATCCCTTAATTTGTATTTAATCCCTAAAGAACGAGAATATCAGATTGTTGAGTACATACATTCACAGAAAAATATTAATTTTAAGGAAATAAAGTAAAACATCTAACATACAGCTGCAGATTACTTATTTTTGAAAATTTAAGCCTCTAATGAGAAAACTCAAAAACTTCTATATGAGATTTTTAAAAATCAGCAAAAGAAATATTTTTGAAGTTCATGCAAATCCCATCATGAAAATAGTTTAATCTAGACACAAAAAAATTATTCTAAAATTTGAATTACCCTTGCATTTATGCTCATCCTGTAGATACATGTAGTTTACACAGCATTTTGCACCTGTCCTACAAATAAAATGTCATACGGTAAAACAAAACATCGGTTATTTATCTGTTTTCATAAAAGGATAGAGAATTATATATGTTGTTGGTCTTACTCTTCGTCGTAGCATACACCATTTGTCTCATTCTTGTGTCCTTCAAAACAAGGTTTGATACTTGATAGTATATTTTTTTAACTAACTCTGATAAATACTAAACAGTTTAGAGAGAGAGAGAGAGAGAGAGCATACCCATAAAACAACCCACTATCTTGTGACATGTATCCTCCGAACAATTACATTTACTCTTACACGATGCTCCGTAATATCCTTCCAAGCATTTTTGTGTGCAATTATCACCAAATCGTCCAACACACTCTTAAATGCCAAGAACAACATATTAAACCATGTAACACAAAGGATGCAAATCCAAAAGCAAAAATTATGCATATTTTTTCTATTTCTATAGCTAAGTTCTCTGTGACTTTCCCAGAACTAAAATTACGCATATTTTTCTATTCCTATAAAAGCCAATTTTTCCACAACGTTCTTGCATTTCACAATCAACAAAAGCACGAGAGATAATAAATTCTTACCTACACAGCGTTCCTCCTTTTCACTATATATATAATTTGTACAGCACCTTGTGTTATCACTAAATGATAAGGTGAGTGGATACTTATATATGAAATCTACAATGAATCTGAAATATTTATAAAATTTGAAAAGAAAAACAGTAACGTATGAATGCTTACTTATCATCAAGACAAACTCCATCTTCAAGTATAGATGCGTGCAGTTGAATAATTTGTAAGCAAAAAAGTAAATAATTTTTGAGAACATTTTTCAAATAAACCGAGGATATAGTGTGGTGTTTTCGTTTTATTTTATTTTATTTTTATTCTGGACTTTAAATGTGGACTTTGTAAAACTTTCAAATTTTATAAATACTTCCTAATTCATATCATGATACTCCTCTTGAATATAACTGTTAGGCCTCTTACAATTTATTCGTGAAATAAAAAATTTCTTTCAATAGCAGAGGTATCTTTTTAGCATAGAGAGATATCTCTTAGGCTTATAGCTCTTTAGCTTATAGAGATATTTCTTTGAGATAAATTTATCCTCTTTAAACAAAAGAGATATCTCTTTTTGTAAGAGAGATATCTTTTTTATTTAGAGAGATATCTCTATAGGCTAGAGAGATATTTCTTTAAGCGAGAGAGATATACCTTATAGTTACAGAGATATCTCTTCAACAAGGTTAAAAGAGATATCTTTCTTAGTCAGAGAGCTATCTCTTTAGATTTTCAAAAAGAGATATCTCTCTTAGCTAAAGAAAAATCTCTTTCAGTGAAAGAGATATCTCTTTTCCAGTGATCCGCAGCACAGTTAAGGTGCGCAATGGAAATATCGACTAAATTTTGTATTTAAAAATGTATTTGTAATCGGAATGGCGATTATTTTTAGTACATTATTTATATCAGATAATTGTAATTATGATTAATAACTACATATCGAGGACGAATATATTTTATATTTAGACTAGTCATGTGATGCTGCAGTCAGGCGATTTTAGCACATTGACTTGCATTATTGATGTTACATGTAAATATCACTAGTGCAAGGCCATAACCAAGTTTAATTTCCAAGTTTATTATATAATTATTTTCAACACACATTGTAGTTTCTAAAAAGTGCTGCGATCCTGTCTAATTTCTGCAATTTCATTGTTACAATTATATTTGTATGACCGAATGCTATATTTTTTGATGGTCAGCGGCATGAAATATTGATATAATTAAATTGTTTTTAAGATTTCATCAGGATCGCAGCACTTTTCAGATACCTTAATAGTTCTAGAGTTGAAATGTAAAAGCTTATTATGATCCATAGAGGGTATGCCCTTGCACTAGATCGATTTATTAAGACCCCCACATTACCCTCCGGTGTACTTGCATACAAATATACGGCAGTGTCAATTAAATACGTAATGTACAGAAAATATATTAATAAAATAGTGAAAACGACATTAAATCCAAGTTATTGCTCATAGAATATCTGTAAATAATATTTTATTTAATTAGAGAATAAATATTTTGTTGAGAAAATATTACTTGATCTGCCTCTCACTGCATACAAACTACGTCACGTTGTAAGAAATGACGTCATATTGACATGTGTATTGCGATCAGTGACATGTATATAACTTGTTATGTGGGATTTAACTAAAGTCAAAACAACACGCTGTAGTAAGTTTTAATGTAGTTGGATCATTTCTTACTGGTTAAATTAGCAAATCAACTCATTTTGTGGTATTTTAAAGAAATGCTGTATGACGTATATTGTGTATGATGTCATAGTCAAGTTTTCCCGTACAAATTAGGCTCCGCCTCCTTTTTGTAACCTTAACTGTGCTGCGTCCCTAAAATAAAGTAATTTATTCTCCCCTTTCAAACAAAAGCGAAAACAGGAAGTAAAGTCTCTGGAATTTAATATTTCGCTAGAAAAAGACTGAGCACGTCATATACCCATAATAAAATATGTGCTATTTAGAAGAAAATGCTATAAATCCCTTATTTGAAACAACAAATAATAATTGCAACTTCGTTGATAAACAATGCTAAACATTTAATTAATATTTAGGAAAACGAAAGTAAGCATAAAAGCTCAAATGCAATGGACAAAATTTTATCAGCTTATTATATAATCAATAATATTTATATATATATGTTGTATAAATATATATATATATATATATATATATATATATATATATATATATATATAACTATATATGTGTGTCTTGTATTTGTAATGTCTTACTTTGTGTTACATGTCTGTGTCTTTAAGTAATTAAAAGTAGATTTTAAAATATTTTGCCTCATTATGAACATAACTGACTTACACAAATATATTTCAACAGGTGCAGTATTGGCTGGATGGTTGTGAGAAGGACGATGATGTTTATGAGTTAAGAGAACAGGAATTTCCTACAGATTTGAAGGACGGAAATTTTTTTATCCTCAGTAAGTGCATTTTACAATTCCTGCTTTAATACAATGCTTTTTCTGGGGGGCGGGGATGTAATTTATTGCTGGAATTTAAATTTTCCTAATATTTCATTATAAGGATATGTAACATAGGAGTATTTATCCATTAAAATGAGTAATTATTTCATTTTTAGACAGTACACAGTTGGATCACTGCTACACAAATTTTTGAAAAAGACTATAAGGTTAATTGAATTTTTAAAGTTATCTTCCATAAAAATGAATTATCTTTCTTTGAAATAACAGTCCTATATTTGTAATTGGATTACCTCCCTTTTTGAACAACTGTTTTATTAAAAGAAACACCAATTTTGCACAGTGTGATACTGGTGACGTCACAATACCCAATATCAAGGACCGGTCCGAAAATCCATATCACGTATCGGACCGGCAGGCAAAAATCCATGTCAAACCGGAAGGAACGTTTGTATAAAAATTACAAATAATTTACTTTAATTTATTAAATATAAATGTAAAAAATTCTTTAGAAACATTTGCAGACTTTTCTTTTTTCAATTACCTAAAATTAAATTTTAAAGAAAAAGGCATAAACACGCATGAAATATTCTTCAATGACTGTACGTGAACTCGCATATTAAGTATATTAAATATATGATAAATAGAATACTATATACTAAAATCTATGTCACATAGCATATGCCCATATATATGCCCGATATATATATATATATGCTATAAAATTACGCCATTTTATAAATCATATTTGTCTTCAAAACGTAAAAGCTATTCAATACCGACATTACGACATAAACTTTTTAGATAATTTAAAAAAAGAGAAATTTTTCAAAAAGATTATAAATAGTTTTTATACCTTTATGCTATCATAAAATAGATACGGAGATATTATTTTCCCGATGTCGTGTTTTAACGCGCCATCTGGCTTTGCATGCTTTACGAAACAAAATTTACAGTTACCTCAAGACGTATACATGCGTATGGCCACATGCACGCTGTGGCGCGGTATATCGCGATAATTGACACTTAAAGAATGGACGTTTGTTGTGAAAACAGGGTGGCGGATGGCGATATGCGAATTTGACGTTATAAAGAGAATTTTATATAGCAAGAAAAAGGTTCTTGGGAAATCATGGCGGTATTGCGAAAATGGTGATGAATCGAATGGCGTTAATTTGAGAATTGACTGTATATGATAAATAGAATACTACATACTAAAATCCATATCATATGTCATTTAATTCTTATTGGCCTAATTATGTAGAACACACCTTGTCTAATTTTGCGCGCGCGCGCGCGCGCGCGCGCGCGCGCGCGCGCGCTGCGCTTCACGCTTGTGCACCTGTGGGCGGCGCGCGCGCGCGCGCGACACGCGCGCGCGCGTTTGTTGTGCGCGCGCGCGCGCGCGCGGCGCGCGCGCGATTGGCCTCGCGAACACACGCGCGCGCAGATGTATAGAATAATGTAGAAAACTTCGCTACTATACGCTTGTGCCCCCTAAATAATTAAGTATCATGACCTTTCTTTTTGCTTGTCCATTGTTGGTAGTTGATAATGCCCCAAAAAAGAAAAATGTATGGTTGTAACCTCCCAAACTGATATTGCTTCCTACAGGCCTGCAAGGACCCTAAAACATCAGCGATGGTATCAGTATTCCTGATTGATAAATTTAATATGAACCATAGTATGCAATTTTCATATTTATTTCTGAGCTCTCGTTTTCCATGTTTTTTCCAGCTGTCAAACATTTGTTTAACAAATGGCATTATCATTTGAAGCTTTAAACTACTAGTCAGGAGAAGAGCAAACCGGCATGGCCGTGGAACACACCCAATAATTTTCCAGATGTATAGAATAATGTAGAAAACTTCGCTACTATACGCTTGTGCCCCCTAAATAATTAAGTCTCATGACCTTTCTTTTTGCTTGTACAATGTTTGTAGTTGAAAGTGCCCCCAATAACTTTTACTTATGTTTTTTTCAGCTGT